TGCCATCAGGGGGACCTTGCAGATCCAGATCAAGATCCAAGGAAAGTTACATTTGGTCCAGAGGCTGGAAGTTCTGCACTTTTTGTACATGGAAGCATATTTAGTGCCAGTAAGCAAGCCCTAAGAGAGGCATTTCAGCATTTAAAAATGGCACAGGTGGGGAGAGACACAAAAAGGCTGGAAAGTACCAAACGGGCTATGGGAAAGGGACATGAACAGCTGGGGAACCTTGTGGGGGGCGGGGGGGGGGGAGATTGGGAAACCAGGTAGGCTAGATCTGCCCATGGGCACGAGACTATGCACTCCTACAGAAGATCAGCAAGAGTCTCAAATTCCCAGCTGTTTAATGGCAGGCTTACTTTTGTGAATGCAAAGTATCCCATGAACTTATGGCTCATGAGATGCAGTATATAAGAGGCTCTGCACTTTCTCCCCCAAGCCAACAGTTTGGTGCTGGCTCTGACTGGTGAATCCCAAAGTTCTATTAAAAAGAAAGACACAAGATTTCCCATCAGCCTGAAGCCTGCCCTCCTGAGATACATAGCATCATTTTCTTGCACTGCATTTGTAAATGAAGCAAAATGTCATGTGTGTTGGTGGCAGAGTAGACCTCTAGTGCAGTCCTCTACTTGAAGGACCATCATGGCCTGATCCAACCATGGCCTGGCCAACAGAACAGAGCAGTCTGCTCTGGGTACTTCAAATCCAAGTTGAGCTGACGGACTTTGTGATTCCTGAGCTGCGGAATCCATCCCTTAAGCCTGGAATTGGGGCCAAGAACCTAGCCTGGCCAGGACAATCATCTGATTTAGGGTCAGAATTCACACTGGTCACAATCCAGTCACAGTAAAGCATGTATTATTCCCAATGATTTAGGGTATGCTTGACTTCTTGACATCTATGTTTCTAAACATTATCAACTTTGACTGGATCATGAGATGCCGCCACCAGCTTTCTTTCTGTGCCTTTTCATGCAACAGTAACTGATAATGGAAAGTGAACACAGGAATAGGTAAAGACCCTTCTCAGGTCATAGTTCACTGATGACTTACTGGTATAGTGAAGGTCCACTAAAACCAGTATACATGTGTAAGTATTAATCTTTCTCCTTTGTCTGCCGCTCAATACTGCAGTGGTCCACTCTGTATTATGAACATTATACAGCCATCTACTGGGAAAAATCTATAATTGTAGCACTTTTTCCATTATTATTTAGAATGAACAACCATTAAAGCCGAGAATACTTTAGCTTATGGAAAGGGAAAGGGACCAGGAGTTTTATTGAAAGGAAACTCAAGTGAATTCTCAGAATTTATTATGTGAACCCATAAAATGGCCCATATAAACAGAAGTTTTGTGACTACCTCCTAATAATAGTGACTGAGCTTTCTATAATAGGTTGGTAAAAATTAAAACAGTATATGCTGCCATTCCTCATTGATATCAGCTTCATACCCATTTGCAGTCTAATTTTTGTCAATTAGGTTGCAGAAGCATAGATTTTGTAATTACAGGAGAAAGAGGAAATGTTGTCAATATATGCAGCTGTGTGTGGTTTACATAACTTTGAAAATCCACTAAGAATGGGGTTACCTATGAATGTGTGACCACTCTCCCAGAGTTTGCGAGTAAGATTCCATGTGTGTGTATGTATGTGTGTGTGTGTAACTTTGGATGATTCTTTTTCCAGGAACCTCTAAACTACCCTCTCTGTGCTTAGATTTTATTAGCTTACCTGAACCCGATGAACTCTGAACTCAACTGTGCTGATATACAAAATGCAAAATCATTGTGTTGTTATTAATCACTGGCTGTAATCCTGACAAATGGAAGGACATCACTTCGGCAAGAAAGTTAAAGACATACTTGGCTTTCTGTTGCTATGGGCAGAACTGAAGGTTCGAGGCTCTGTTTCCTTTGATTTGAGTCAGTTCAGTTCAGTTGCACTTAGGAGTTATATTGTCAAACCAGTTGTACTAGGGAGTCTGTTATGATTGTGAAATGTTTGTGTGTATAGAAATAACATGGAAGCATTTTGAACCTTTAGCATCTTAGGAAGATGGAGAGCTTTGCGGTCTATTGTGTTGTGAGATTTGACCCAGTTGTAGGTGGCATTGTCACCCTGTATCAGCTTTCCTCAGTTTAATGCCCTCTAGATATATTGGGCAACTCCCAGCACCACAGAAAGGAGAACTGTCTTCTACATTCATTTTTTGCCTTTCTTTCTCTATGACTGGGATAAGCACAGAAAGCCACATGGACCTCAGAAACAATCTACTGGGAAGTTCTCCCAGACAAACCACCCGTCAGCTGGTAGGCATGTGCACATGGTAGGCATGTTGTGAGCAGAGCTGGCTAGAGCCGGGGTCAGACTAGATGGTCCGGGAGGTCCCTTCTGACTCTGTTTCTGTTTCTAAGATACTGTTCTTCTATATTCTTATGCAGCCTTATTTCCTTTTACACAGTACATTCAGGTTGACTGTGGCTTTCAAAAATCCAAACTGCAGGAGAACCATCTCAGGATCATTGTTCCCAATAAAATTAGCTGGCTAGGCACTACTTATCCCTCACTGAGTTTGCCTGCTCTGGCTTAGATTTTGTGGACAGAAGAACCGAGTGTCTCTGTTTGTGGAAGCAACATCGATCCAGCAGATATCCTACAAATGGAAATGGCAGAATCCCTACAAATGGAAGAAGGGTTGTTCTTCCATCCCTCGTCTACATGCACCACCCACCACACTATTTCTCAGCACTTCAGCATAGATTTTGAGGGAGATGAGGGCCAAAGGGAAAATCAAGACCCTGTTCTGTGAGGGTCAAAGGGAAAATCAAGACCCTGTTCTGTGAATGGGTCTCTACTCATGGAAATCTAGGCCCACTCTGCGTGTGCCCTTCATTCTATAGCAGTTATCTGAATGAACGGACCCTATTAGAGTTCCCCCAGAAGTCTCCTTTCAATCATGCATAAGAGAGAGACTTGCTTCCACGGGGATTCCAGTGCTGCAAGTATTAAGACTTCCCTCTCTTGGATGCGAACAGCCAGTGACTTTTCTACATTTCTGCACATAAATTTTTAATCACAGCTCTTCCCTACTGCTGGTGATTGAGTTCCCTACCGCAGCTAATGGCATTTCTTGTAATATTCATCCATTTAAAATATGTATGTGGATGCCATATCTTATTTTTCAAGGGGATCTTGTATAAAGCCACAAGCTAGTAATAGCAGTCATACGCCTGTTAAACTACGGTGCATTTGCCATATGTTTGATCACTGGGGCAATCATAAAATACAGGACTCCTTGTCTCAAATTGGTGATGTTTTACACAAGGTCTGTACAATAGTCTGTGTGGCATTTTGCCATCTGCCTCAATCTCAGTCCAAATGAAACCCAGGATATAAATTTCCTCTGACTTCAATGGGAATAGGCTTGAGCATCTAAATGTATGCCCTCTGGCTGGAATATATTCAGAGATGACGTGCCTTAAAAAGTCAGGCAGGTCAAACTGCTATAGGTGAATTAATTTTTAAACAAGAGGCATTCAGGAGGCCATGATTTAATATCCCCAAGTAATTACTTTATGAAATGATTCCTTGAACTAGGCAGGCTTCTCTAGCAGGGCTGAATTAACTAGGAAACTAGCTATGCTGAAGATTACTTCCCTTGTTGTGGCTGATTTATCATAGGCTATTATCAGGATCAACCAAGAGTCAAACCAGAACCCTTCTGCTCTGTATTCTCATCCTCCAGTGCTGAATCAGTGGAGGCTGTAGAGCAGGAGAGAAGATAAATGGGAAGGTGTTCCCGGCATGGTTCACCCTTTCTTACCTCCCTTTTCAGCAGCAGACCTGTATATCCTATAATGAATAATTTCACCTTTTGTTCCAAAGTATGTCAGCCCAAGCACCAAAAGGTAATAATAACAACCCAGCTGCTTCTCCCAGACAATGCATCCAAGATGCTTCTCCATGACGTGCGCTCAGCCGATCAAAATTGCACAATATACCCCACCACCAATACCCATGTCTGGATTAAAACAAAAATATGCATTCAATGGACTGAGGCTAATGGCTTAGTGGGATTTAAATCTGGGGCTCTCCAGACCTAATCCAGTGCTCAAACCATGACATCACACTGGCCCTGCTTACTATATTTATTTAACTAATTTTAAGCATTTATGTATCTAAAAAGGCTCACACTTAACAGTACGGGCTTCTTACTTCGTCTAGAACATCTAGAGCAGGGACAGGCAGACAATAGATAGATCATCTGATCCACCAGTAATTTGCAGCAGAGCAAGGGAATCTGCAGCCAATCAGCAAGAATCTCAGGCTTCCAAAGGCTGAATGATAATTGAACAACAGCAACAACAAAAGGCATGTTTTCACCCTCTTAAATTAGATTACTGAAATCAAGAATCTTGACTGGTCAGTATCTGCATAGTTCTAGATCTGAAAACAAATTCCTAAACTGAGTATGTATCCAGAGACAATATATGCTTCAGTTTGTTGTCCATTTTCCTGAGCCAGTGCCTTGCCCCTGGCTCCAGCTGGTAGATCCACATGCCAAAACAGGCATCATTTTAAATCTGTGTCTACCAGCCACATCTTTTCCCCTTATTATTTTTACTCCAGAGTAGGCAAAACAGGTTTGGCCAATTTCTTAAAAGTCCCCGAACTAGGAGATTGGGAGAGGCTGACATATATATTTTTAAAGACATACACTTCAAGTAAGTTCAATTTTGTCCCTCAAGGTTCTAGTGTGAAATAGTTCTGAACTGCCCAGAGAGCTCTGGCTATTGGGCAGTATAGAAATTAAATAAAAATGTGGTGGGGAACAAAAACAAAATTGACCTCACAAGCCTCTATTCTGTCTAAGCTTTGATCTGGAATGACTTCCATTTCTAATTGCTGCAGATGGATTTGTCCTCCTTACCATTGCTTGGTAGCTGGATGGCATTGGTCATCACAAAGGGTTAAACATTTTCAGTGTTTCCCATACCTATGGGCTTGCATGTTCCTCCGCTGTATCCAGGACAGCACTTCCACTCCAGTGATGTCACGATCATATGTTTGATCCTGTACGCTTGGCGAGTCCTTGACTGGGAGCTGCAAGGTGATTTGGAAAGCAAATGTTAGTGGGGGTCTGTCTCAGATGAATGGACATGATACAGGATGATACATCAGTAATAGGCCACAGAGGGATTATTTTTGAAGTCTATTGATTGCATCCTGTGCAAGACCACAAGTGAACGCTTTTTACAGAATAGCTTCATGTCAAAACTAGAGAAAATAAAGACTTCAGGAACACAGAGGAAATTAATGGGGGATTTTTCTGTATTTATCTATCTATTTTAATTACTAGCTGTTCTTCTGGTAATGCTCTCTAAGTTGTTTACAAACTTAGATGATGGGATAGGAAAAGCAAAAATTCTTAACCCCAAATAAGAAGACACAGAAGGACGAAGAAATAAAATGTTAATATAAAAATCATTGAACTTGCATAGAACTACTACAAAGTCGGGACAAATAATAAGCTGGTGGCTCAGAAGAAAACCAAGATGGTTCCAGGTAAGCCTCCTTGGGGAGAGAGTTCCAGCCACCACAGAAAAGTATCCAGTTCCTGTCACCACTAGCCTCAATTTAAACAGCAAAGACCAATTTTCATGCCTGGGAAAAAGCAGCCCTTTGAGTCCCTAGAGCCCAAACTGGGATACAAAACTGACTTCAAATAACAATCAACTTTCTGCAAAATCTACAGATAACTTCTGCAAAATGTCCAAATCAAGAACTTCCAAGCATTGAGATGTAACCACAATTTCTCATACTAGTTGTTTTTACATGTGTGTGTGTGTGTGTGTGTGTGTGTGCGCGCGCGCGCGCGCGCGCGCGTGTGTGTGTGTGTGTGTGTGTGAGAGAGAGAGAGAGAGAGAGAGAGAGAGAGAGAGAGAGAGAGAGAGCACTGCAAAATCAATAACCAATCTGTACTGCTAAGCATCCAGTTTTGTAGCCATCAAACCCATTTGTGAGAATACTTGTTCACTTTTGGCAGATTTAAATGTGGGAAAGTCTCATCCAAGATACAGAGATCAGGCAGCTACGACTCTGCCCTGCTGCATGTGGGGAGGTGAGTGAATTGCAGAGATCTAGAAGGATGCCAGTGGGTAGATTGGAGCCAGTCTGTGTGCTTGCTGGGATTCCCCATCTTGGGAGACCCACAGAAACATAGAGAAGTGTTTTATACGGAGGCAGGACTGTGGTTCATCTAGACTAGTATTGTCAACACCAACTGGCAGTGGTCCTCTGGGATTTCAGGCAGGAGTCTTTCCAGGACTACACGGAAATGTTCCAAATTGAACTGGGCTGTACCACTGACTTCTCTACAACCATCCTCCTATTTATTTGCCCAAGCCCTAGCTCAGTAAGACAAAGTTTTCCAGCCACATTCCTGGCTTGTGTGTAGCTCTTTTCCCCATTCAGAAAGGTTGCAACCCCCTCTTGGGTGCTTACTTTAATGTGATAGAGGTGTAGAGCAGGTCAGAGAAGCCAAGAGTAATGCCACCGACAGGCCAGACTCGCTCACTAGGCAGGACTCCTAGCAGGGTGACCCAAGGCAGAATGGTGCAAGCTGAGACACCAGGCTATGATGCCTCCACCCTCACCAAGAGGGACTGTCACAGTAGAAGGAGAAAACGGATCTCTCTAATGGTGATGGGGCAGAGCTGAAGGACAGCTACTGGGCAGCAGCGGTAGTTGAAGGTGACGCTGGTGGAGGGTCTTTCACAAATAATAACAGTGAAATTCAAACTAACTCTGGTTGGTATCGCACAGAAGAATGCAATGGCAAACCACTTCTGAATATCTATTACCGTGGAAACCCTATAATGAAATGTTCCAAATTGAAACAAGGGGTAGCAACTGTAAAGCAAGACTTTGCACACTGAAGCATCACAGCACTTGCGAGTGAACCAAAGTGACTGGAGTGGGAGATTTTCAGTCAGGCAAGCACAAAGTGTTTTACTCAGGAAATGACAAACTCAGAAGCCATGGAATGGCTCAACTTGGTCAAAAATAGGCCAGGCCATGAAGGCAAAGTTCAACCGAATCACATCAGTCAGAATCCTTGGAAAGCCTATCAGCATAACCACCATTCATGTCTACACTCCAACAACAGATGCTGAAGAAGAAGAAATTGAAAACTTTTGCACAGGAGTCAAGAGGAAATTGATCGCACACTGTTTAAATTTACCTCATGCTCCTGCAGGAATGTTTCTCTAGGGGATTATGGGAAATGTAAATTGTGCCTGATGGAACTGCGTCCCCACCAGCAGAGGAGGTCCACAAAAAGACATTACGCACAGCGTATAATCTCTTGGATTTTGACTTAAATGCAGGGTTCAGCTTTGCCCCAGATGGTAATGGGATTTTCACCTTATTTTTTGTAGCACAGATGGAAGAATGGAGGTAGCTATGACAAATGCATGGAAGAGGGAGTCTGTTCATTGGTTATCATGGAAAGATATCATTAAAAATAAAGAAGGAAACCATATCTGAAATTAAAAGGAAAATTACACATAAAGTCATGGGATCTGGAGTCTTTGCATCTAAGGAGTCTATTTGAATTTCCATTCCCTGCGTGGGCAAGGTGTGTGGAGTGCAATTGGCTAAGAAAAACTAAGTATTCATTTTTATGTGGGTAAACTTGCAGCATAACTATGAATAAGCAACAGTGCAAATGTCTATCATTTCGAGCATGAAATCTGGTTCACCATATTCTTGTCCAGTCAAAGCTTCTACTCAAGTGAGCCCCCAGAACCTTCCCAGGTTGCTAGAGTGACCTGTGCTGCATATGGAGATTTCCACAACCAAACTGCTTTTTTAGGATTTCTTCTTATGTCATATCAACCAGATCTGCTCAATCTCACTTTAGAAATTAGAACCAGCCAACAAACAATCATGTCTGGCTGGTTGCCATACAGGGACTGAGCTGTAGCTACACTACCCCAGCGCTGATTCTGAGCAACTGGGACACTTTATGGCTGGTCCAGGAGTCCTCAGGAGCTCCACCTCCTCAAGTGATATATTTGACCTTTTTTGGGGGGCGGGCAGTGTCCTTTCCTGCATTTTCTAGCTTTTTCTGGGTACTGAATATCCAGGAGCATAGAGCTGGCTTGGAAAGGCACCCTGGAGCATCGGTATTTGTTGATCTGCTCTTCAGAACCTGAGGACAGGAGTCAGAAGCCAAGGTGGAAGACCCTTCTTGTGAAGGTCTGGAAAATGGTTCTGGCTAATTCTTGGTGCATTGGACTACTGCCTCTCTGTCATTCATCTTTTCGTGCATTTGCACTACTACCTCAAAGCAAAGAAACTGAAGATGTGACTGTGGCAAGGATCCTTCACAGAGGACACTTTTCCTACATAAAGGTGATCTTAAGGCAAGAGACACCTTGAATCTCGAGTTTCTTTTGATGCTAATACTCACGTTCAAAAGCATCCCAGCTATAAGCCGCTATTGAGTAAGCAAAAATATGTGAAGTGTGAAATGACATTGTTAAAGTCATTTACCAGCTCAGTATTTCAGAGCTCTTCCTTTATTGTCATTTAAAATCCGTTTACATACACTCAGCTTTGTAAGAATAAATCATTTATTGTAGTGAGCTCCTTAAGTTAAAATGCAGGCTAAACCTTACACCGCAACTTGAGTTGAAGAAGAAAAAGTGGTGGGAAACAAATCCATGTACCTTTCAAAAACCAAATGGATCCCCTAACAGTTTTCTTTTTCTTCTTAATTTTGGTTGGAGGATATCATAGACTGTTCAAGAGAGACTTGCAATTGAAAAGGGTTTGATCTTTATGAGAGGAGATTAGATTTTAAATTGTTCTTCTACCTATATCAGGTCTTACAGGTATGCAAACCTGCCACCTAGTGGGAAAAGATAAGCCAAATGAACAGGTTTGGAAGGTCCTGACATTTCTGTAGGATTATAGCGTATGTCATGTGTTCATCCCACAAAGTAGATGGGCATTTCTCACATGACCCCATTGGAATGGTCTGGAGGCAGAGATAAGCAGCCAGGTTTTCTGCTGCCAGGTTTCAAGCAAAGAAAGAAAATTCTGACATGATCTTCCATGCTTTTAAAACCATAATATTCTAACAGCCTAAAGCTACCATCCTCAACTGGATATGTTGATCTATGTATCTGTTGGACTCCAATACACACATTCCCAGCCTGTCTGGAAATGATGGGATGTGCAGTCCAACACATCTGAAGGGTATCATGTTGCCCATGAATGGTTTCTAGTTATACTTTTGCATGTACATCCATTAGCCTGTGCTGTCCTATTTTCCCATTAATCTGATATCTTTTTTTGATCTTTATGACAATGCCTATTTAAATATTTATTTATGAGTATATTTTAAAACATGTTTTCTCTCAGAATGAATATTTTTTAAGTGTACGCACGAGAGCTGGTAGATTGTCTGGATCTACAGTGGGTGTGCATCAGAATATGCAAAAATAAATTTTCTCAAATACCCTAAAGATGAGTGACCAATTTGTATTGGTTCTCTGATGTAAAGGATCCACCTAGTGCCAAGAATGGGCAGTTAAATGGGGAGCGTACTAGCTACCTAGAAGTCTTTCTTTTGTTTTGCACCCAGTTTGAGCAATTGCTAGGGAGGGTTAAATTAATCTGGAGTAATCAGCCTTTTGACCTAGACAAGGGGTATACGTATTAGATGAATGGCATCAGGCCTTTGTATTCATTGTCGCAGCTACAGGGGCCAAGAAAACCATCCAAAAAAGCTCCCACAGCGAGGAAGACATCTGGATGGACCAACTGGCTATAACAAATACTGGCATTATTGCCTACTAAATCAGAATGAGTTCATGTACTTATTGGCAAGGTCTCCTTTCCTCACCCCAGTCCTTTCCTGTTCCTTCTGGGGCTGCATTGGCTGTCCATGGAGGAGACATAGCACAGACAAGCAACTGGATTGGGAGCAGTTTTAATACCACAGCCTGCACGTGCGGGTTGCAGCCAAGTCCAGGACTCGGAAGTGATTTCAGGACCCCAGAATAGGGGGCCCAAATATGGCAGCACAAAGCTCTCCCTCCTTCAAAAGCCGCAGACCTTTCTCCTGGTAAAACATTCCTTACTGACCAAAAAAGTACAAAACACCCAGAATGAATCTCTGAGGAGGCACAGAGTGCTTTGTTGAACCCAATCTAGTGTTCTCCTCCAGGAACTCTCCTTATGAGCATGCCTGTGCCACTTCCCTTCAGGAGGGCCTTCTGAAAGTGAGCACACCTTCTCTCCATGCGCCAATCCTCTAACTGGGCCATCCTCCTCGGCTGGTGATGCATCCTGGGGTCAAGAGCCATGCTCACTTCACCTGCATTTGAGAAACTCCCATGTTTCAAGTCCCTTCCTGTTAAGTGTACATCTGGGTTATTCCCAGGGACTGCTGCCCCCCAGGGAGTCTAGCCTTGAGATAAGGGCCTCTGTTTATTTCATCTCAGTGTCTCAGCATGGGCCACCTCCCCACCCCACCCCACCCAGTGCTGCTTCACACTCTGATTCTCATTCCTCTGAACTCCAGCCAGCAGTTCTTGAGAAAAAGCGACCTAAGCAGCCACCTTCCTTACTCCCAATACCAGGAAAGTTGGCCAACAGCTCTATGGGAAGGACCATAGCTCAGTGGTAACATGTTCTTGAATGAAAGCGATCCAGGTTCAGTGCCCAGCATCTCCAGGTTGGACTGGGAAAGCTTTCTACCTGAATGCCTGGAGAGCCAATGTTAATCCATGGTGACAGTGCTGGGCTAGATGGGTCATTGGTCTTCCTTACTCAGAATAAGGCAACTTGCTGTGTCACAACAATTCTTTGAAATCTCAAAGAAACCTCCATATTTCCCAGCACCTCCAGTGGCAGCACCATCACCCCATCCTTAGATCGGAGTCTTTTGCAGCATCTGCTAGTTCCCCTCTCCCAGTGGGTTCAGCCTTCTGTTCATGAAATGGAAGATGGTGGAGGAACCCTGGGAAGCTTCCACATTTTCTTGGTAATTGATCTCATTAAAGAGCATCTGTGCAAGTGAAGCCACATCACGTACCTTGATCCACAGGGTCCAGTCATCCAGTTGCATGGCTTGGGTCGGCCTGATGAGTAGCTTTCCACGTTGTCAACCACTATGGTGGGTTGGAGTCTTGTGTGAACATAGGCACACCAGTTCCTGGGTAAAAAAGAAGGAGGAGGGGGTAAGGGAAGATCTGCTAATTTCTGCGTAAAACTGCATACAACTAATGCTATGAATGAATGAATAATGGAAATCTCAGAAGACTCTAGATCAGGAGAAATAAAAAATCAGGTTTCCTATTCCTGCAGATGCTATAGGTTTCTCGTAATATCCTGGGGCAGTTATTAGCCCCACAGTGGCAGTTATTAGCCCCAAAATGGAGGTCATGGCCTAGCCAGGCAAGAGGGTTCCTCATATTTCTTAGTAACTCCACCTGGTTGTAACCATTTCCCTCCTGCTTTTGCCAGAAGCGATGGGCAGAAACAGGCACCTTGGACAAGAGTTGCACTGGAAGAATACACAGTGGCCCTGTTGGTATATGCAGATAGTAGGAGTCAAACCTGCATTTATCCCTGGAATGCAAGGATACTGCTGTGCTTTTACTTTCTGAAAATGTTGCAGTTCAACTATTGAAGAATGAATTCCTGTTAATTTCTTTGATGTTATTTCTTCCTTTCTCCCCCTGCCCTCCCTCCCCGTGCCCTCTCTCTCTGCATGGGCTCTGGAGGATTTACAGCAGGACTATCATTCTTTTTAATTGGTATATGTATATAAAAGAATCAATATTTCATTATGAAGGCAAGTTTACATCCTTTTCCTGCAATAAACTTACAGACTTGATGTGATGTGAGTCTCCTTTGCCTTATGGGGGTGTAAAAAAAGAAGCAGCACAAGCCTTCAACTGAAATAAAATGAGTTATAATAACATATATATATAGAGAGAGAAAGACAGATAGACAGATAGATGTAATTATAGCACCACTGGGGTTGTATTTCAGAGACTGTTGCAACAATGCAGCAAATAAACTAACAATATACACACAGCTTCCCTTTGGAATAAAAAAGGAGCATATAGCAAAAGAACATAGAGTCCTTCTGGGTTGGACTAAGAAGGGGGGAATAATCTATTTCCAGCCATGTTACTTTCTCATGTGCTCACTCCATTCTGTTTCTGTGTGAATTCATGATTTAAAAAAAGAATCTGCAAAAAGCAGTGTGGATGCATACGAATGGGACCTTTGGCAGGGAGCTCCTTGCCCAGATCCAGAAAGCCCTGCATATGCTACTGAGGATCACACATTTCTTCCCCATCCCCACTTTATCTTCAAAACTACCTGGCAGGCTTCCTGCTTCTCCTGATTTTTATTTTATTTCGTAAGATTTTAAAAAACATAAACTGGGAGTCTGGCATACTGCAAAGTGAAGTAGTTTCCTGAAACAACATATTTATTTGGATTTGAGAGAAAGGTTTTATGTTTTAGGGCTCAGGCCTTATCTCAGTCATGCACTTAGATTCTTGGCCAAACTTCTTTTCATCAGCCTCCCCAATTTACCTTCCAGGAAATCAGAGAATCATCGAATAGAACAGTTGGAAGGGACCCATAAGCTAATTGGGTCCAATCCCTGCTCAGTGTAGGAATTCACTCTACAAATGACTGTCCAGCTGCATCTTGGACACCTCCAGTGCGGCAGTGCCCATGGCATCCCGAGGCAATTGTCCCCATGAGTGTTTCATAACTGGCTGGACTCATCGTGGCAGCTATTCTTGAATAAGCAACCCCTCCATGGAAGCCATTTTGTGAGAGTGCTCAGAGAACTCTCTCAGAGTATCAAATGTACTCCCTAACCAGTAAAGGTTGGGAACCTCCAAGCTGAGATACAGTGATTGGAGCTGTATGATCTGAGATGGAATTTGGGATCCACACCTCTCCACTCCACCTCTGATGCTTCATTTATTATCCCACACCTTGGAAAGATAGAGAATGTAGCCCCTTGCATGGCCCTGGTCTTTCTGCCTGCCCTTTGCAGCACGAGACTGGTGGCTGCCTTGTCCTGGCGGGGCCTTGGCTTGGCCAGACCGCCACACGGATGCCCCAGTTGGCAGTGCAGACACTCATCAGTAACACACTGACACTAATGTGCTTGGGAGCTTGAAAGTGCTTCAGCTGATCATTCCCTGGAGCCCTCCCTGATGGAGCCTAATAATGATCATGTTCAGGCACCAGCTAGGCACTGAAGGGAAAAAGCATACGCTGTACTATTATTTATTTACCCAGAAGCATCCTTGCAAATGTAGAAGCAGGGCAAATGCAACAGTCATTAACAAAGGGATATTAGGAGGCCTGGCTACAGTGATGGAATCCAAAGGGAGCGCCGTCTGTTGGCTTAAGGGGTTGGATCGACTTCTGTGCATATGGTGCTGTTGGCAGCCCACCCTCTAATTGGCTATACGCGGGTGTGTTTTGGAGCAGCCCTGCTCAGCACGCAACCTTCCATCATCCCTCGCTCATCCTGGCAAGGTGCCCCCATTCTCCTCGTTTCCCTATCACCGTGCCAGTCACGGGAAGATTTATTAATATGAATTGAGAGTGTGCTTTGCCAGTTTTCTTTGGCCAAGAGCAAATGCACTGGGCTGAGTGAAGTTCTCTTCTGCACCTGTGAGGTAGCAAAGCATCATTATCTTCAACTTGCAGAGTGTTGATCTTTTTAATGGAGTGGGAGGAATAAAACATGGCAGCCCGAGTCCAGCCAATACAATGTAAGCAAAGGGAGCTGCCATGCACACGAGCAAGTGTGCCAAGCCAAGAATCCTAATGTTAGAGCTATCACAGCACCATGGTCCCCACGTCTTGCTTTTGCAGAAGTCCTTCAGACTTCAGATAAAATTCTAATCAAGTACAGAAGCCTGTACTTTTTCTATGACATTCACATATGCTATATAACCATTGCATTGCATTGCATTGCATTGCATTGCATTGCATTGCATTGCAAGCTTGCTTTTTTCCTGCAAGGAACCCAAGGCAGCTTGCATAGCCCTCCTCTGCTCTATTTAAGCCTCACAGTTTTAACCTTTAAGTTAGGCTAGGCCAAAATCATCCAGTGAGCTTCATTGCTAAGTAGATTAACCACTATACCATGTTTCATTAGACAATGGGCTTCTTCTTGTGCTTTTCTACCCTCATTGTCTCCAAGCATATTCATAATGTACTAAAGCAGGGGTGGGATCCACCTTGCTTCTTGCAAGATGCCAAAATGTGCACATGACATGCTAACCAAAGAAATGGTTCATCCATCTCTAGGTGTAGCATTATCCCCAGTGAGCCAGTTTCGATGCAGAACACGGGTGGGTTGGGTTGGCTTGTTTTCGCTTCGCTTCGCTTCGGCTTGGTTTGTTAGCAGCTGAAACAAAGACTGGCTGTTAAATTCCACTGCCTTGCATCTGACATGGTAAGACCTCAAATATCACATTTTTCCTGGCCTCCACAGAAGTCAGACAAATGCATAAGAGAAATGCACAAACCATCCTGAGCCTATTCCTTCTTCCCTCCACTGTCAATTCACCTTAGAGGAAAAGGGATAAAAGGAATTTTTCGCATCCTTTACCCCTTCCTGCTCCCATGTGGCTCCCAGCGCCCCTTCACTCCATCACCAAATTTGCTGCTTTGGTGGAAGCAGCAGCAGCAGCAAATCCATTTGCAGTGGTTGCCACTGGATTTCAGTGGTGAACCACAACTGTGGATTTAAAGGCAATATGTAAATTTAAACCAATGGTTTAAAGCTACATTTGGCGTCTCTGCCCCCCACCCCATTCAGAGGCAAACTACCAATTATTTTGATGCTGCTGCAGTTGGGCAATGTGGAGCAGGGATATTAGTAATGCAGCCCCAGGGGGTACCAGAGGACTGATGTTGGCTCTGGAAGCACCCAAAGTTGCCCACCTTGCCCTTGTAGATTTCTCAGTTACTGATCATGTATGTTGATGAACCTGTCTTGGGCCAATCTTCATTATGGCTTTTAAGTAAGGCGGGTCCTGGCATGTAAGTGGTGGAAAACTTTCCCCATTTAATTCCTGCATGACACACTCCAGAGAAAGGCTCAGAAGAAGGGTTAATAAGCCAAGCCAAGTGGCAATCTGCTGGCTGGCTTGCTGGCTTCCTTGCTGGAAGGACGCCAGCATGATGTTTCTTCACATCTTTCCAAAAGCAGCCAGCAGATGGAAGCCTTTCCCAACACACAAGCATTCTCCCTCTTTGTTAGGTTATGGGGTGGTCGTGTTTTTCGACAGTACCCATCCCAAGCCCTGTGATGCACACACTTAGTAAAGGGAGTAACAATTACGATAACTTAAGAAAGAACATGGGTGGATTTTCAGTAGGAAGAAAAGTGAAGGGCCATAAGTTGTGTGAACAGGGACAGAAATGCAAATCTCCGCATCCAGTCCTCATTGCAACTGCACAACAAATCAAATTGGATGTGACACACAGTCGTAAGTGGATAAATCATTGCTGTGATGGCCGTAGCAGCAGTCTCGATAGCACCAAAGAGATGGAAGGGATGCCTTTTAATTGATAAGGGGCGGAAAGGAGAGGTTGCTTAGCATGTACCACACACCACACTCACTGCTTCGTCTCAGTATCTCCAGATGTGTGTTTGTCAGGGATGCTAAAATACACATTGCAGGAGGGAGATGAGCAAGGAAGCGGTTGCCCAGCAAAAGTGCAGATCTGAGCATCCTTGCCCCACCCATCACTTCTCTGCTACAAAGTGTTGCAGTTGTTTGGTAGATGTTTGGTGGTGTCCCAGGTTTTCAGACCCAGAAACTTCCCAGAGCTTAGTTCATCCCAGAGACACGGCAAATCTGATTTTTGTGAAAATGCATTTTGTGTATCCAAAACCTTAAACACATCGGTAGTGTTACAGAGTAGTGAACTGCAACTGCAAAAAAAAAATCATTTGAGGGACAGTGGGAATGAAAATCTAGGAGGGTTATAGTTATACCATATATAGACAAAAGATCCACAGGAGCCAATTTGTGAGCAGTTACACAACCCTGAGATCCTAACATCATGCATCCCAATCATGCATGCTATCAGCACACTGCAAGGATATAGTTGTCTAGACAACCTAGACATGCCTAGACAACATGTGAATAGGAG